CCCCCCCCCCCCCATAGAGCTGTTCTACTTTTTCCAAAAAATTTTCGCTCAAAACCGTCAGCTAGCTTGCAAATATTGTGAAATTGTAAAACATTGAAAATGCTGTATCCAGTAGTACGCCCTCGCAGCTCCCTTCGAAACAAAAATTTATTTGTTTTACCCAAAAAGTCTTCCGTTTATTGAGCAATTACACTTTTCCAAGTAGTTGATTAAGGAAACCCGTTGTTTTTGCAAATTTCGACTTTTGGTTTTGACTTGAATTAGTCTTGCGTAACCGATTACTGTATTTTAAAACGCTCTCATTCCTGCTACTTTTCTGAAGTGTGGCGTCAAAGCACAAAATATAAACTGAGCAGTTTTGGGAACCATCTGGTGCGTAATTTACAGTTTTCGTGGAAAATTTTTCTCATTCTCCTTCTTTTTTTTTAAATTAAATATTTCTGTCGAGGCTGTTGTGGTATGTGACATGCTGAAATTTTCAGCTTTCGTTATTTGCTTCTAGAATCGGCAGTCTTGCAAAAATGAATAAGTTGCAAACAATTGTAGAAGTGAGCAAGTACGCAATTTGAATTTAAACCCGTTTAGCAACAGGCAAACACTGCGTGACTAATAAGTTTTGGAAAATCAGATACTCTCACTACAGAAAAACTTCCTAATTCCATTGTAGAGTTGACGGCAGCATTAGCCGAAACCAAGAAATTACTATTTAACTGCTGAAATTTGTTTCGTGGAAGTCTAAGTAATTGCACCATGCCAAAATGTGAAATATAATCAGACTACCAGAAAACAGTTTCGTGCTCGAGAATTTTTCGGTTACACAGATTGTAACAACTTACGGTTCTTTTAATAGTGTGTAGCATTCACTTTTAATATTCAATTTTGTCAGTTTCAAGTTAAAATGATTGGCAGAAAAGGTTGAATGAAGGAACTATGAGTTTGATGTAGAACTAAGAAAATGAAAGAACTTTTCTAAATACTGCAATCAAAAAGGAACCTAACATTGTACCAATGGTTAACGCTACCTACACACTTCTGAGCGTTGTGGCAGTTGAGTGCATGCAGTCCAAAATACACTTTTCTTACTAGAGAATTCAAGTACACTTTTTGTATATAGATTTTTGGAATCTCCACTCTTTCTGTGCGACATATTCCTGTCTGTCTACTCACCTCTTGACAAATTTCTTAGGATTTAATGCTAAATGGTAATTCCAACTGTTGTTTTATAAAACAACACTCCCGCTAGCGTATGATACAACGCTTGACTGCAAAATTCGGGGAAGTCCAAATTCATTCTCATACAGGTTGCGCTACCTACAGCTCCGCTTTTTTTTTTTCTTTTTTGACTATATTATGGTTTACCTAAAAATACTTACGTGATCTTACTCTTTCAGCTGTTTGTAAAATCTAGTGGTCCAGTGTAAAAGTCTTTCAAGGGGTCATTAAAGAAGGGTTTTGGGAACCAATATATAGCGTGTCAGAATCTTTTTTACTGATATGACCCTATGAATTATGAATTGGTCGTACTAGGCGCCACTTCATTTGCAGAAAAGCAAAGTATAAGTTTTTGGCGGAGTTCAAATGAAAACTTACATTTTATAACTGCATGATTTCAGTCGTTATTCAATAATCATCACGACGACTACGCTATGATGGTTAGAAATAGAGTTTATTACTAGGTTCTTATAAAGCTGGAAAGAAGTAAATAAACAAAGCCGGAGTTGCTGTAGATGTGCAGAGCATAGTCAAGTTGCAGAAACTGAAAATATACTATCGACAGAAAGAAGAGTCAAGTTTAGGGACGAACAAAATAAACTGTAAATGCATCTAATGTCGTGATCCTGGTGTAAAGTTTGGTCAAGGCGTTTAACTAGGTAGTTTGTGACGTTAAAAAGAGGAAATTATACCGATATATGAGACTTCATAATAGTTTTTACAAGTTCACAAACCTTAATCAAAATGATTACGGCTTATATGTCAACTTTTCATGCGTACTTTTTACTTAAAATTTCGTGATTAGCTGTTTCCCAAAACAAGTTCGGAAGAGAGTTTTAATAGATCCACATCATTTAGTGCGAAAACTTCAACGTTTTAGCTTGACTTCTCCCACGCGATGCATAGCTTTTGTTCACTGCAGGATTACTGCCGAATCTGCAAATGTGTTTTATTTTGGCTTCCAACTACAACGTAAAAGTGAAAAAAGCATGAATAATATTTTTCTTTTCTACAAAGACAGTTTACAGAATCGAGGATCTCAGTAAAGAGTAGCATTATTTCTTCCCGTTTGTTTGACTAATTGTAGCAAAAAGCAAAATTTGAAACCGTAGTTGAAGTGTAATTATCAGGGAGTCTGAAAAGTGGTTTGATCTTTGGCCAATTTTCTTTTTTAAAAGTCGGGGTATGCTAACTTTGCAGTCACTGATGCTCAGAATGTATAATAATATAGTTTTTATCTGAGCAGGAAACTATAACAAAAGAAGATCAAAAGACTTTGTCCTCCATAAACAGCCTTCATTCGAGAATTCTTCAAAGTCCTGTAAAAAACAACTGATCTCTCTTCTACATATAAATAGGCTGCGTTCAGTCATTTTTTGCTTATTCACTTCATCCAAAACTTTGGACTTTCAGTCATTATTTCCAGTTGATGCCGAATGTGATGGGACTTTTTTGTATTTAATTCAGTCATCGCTTAACTCGTGTTAATCTTCTCTTCATCAGCATTTTTGAGTAATTTTTTTTGTTCCAAACTTACTTGGTCCTCAAAATATAACAAAAGTGCTGCTCATTTTCAATCATCTCTGTACTGTTTATACGGTTCTAAAAACTATTGGAGTTGTCGTCGTTTTTACCTCCACCAGAGGCAGTGCTGTAATTCGCTTTAACGGGGTGGTAGAAGTTTTTCACTGAAGATATGTAAGCTGCAATATATTAGTTGAAGATCTGTCATACTGGAAACCTCCGCATTAACTTTCTTCTGGTTTTAGTTGACCGTGTAGTTCTCAGGAGTAAAATTACAAGTGTATACTCAAATCAAATTTCCTGAATAATGGAGACAAAATGGCCTAATATTTGAGACCTATAGTAACTGAGTAAGACCAGAGAATGCGCACCAAAACTGCGGGCTGCCTAACGACCTGCCAGTCGCAAATGATTTTTGTAGTTTTTAATGAAACCATTCTAGTAAGGAGATGATCCGCAGTTGGGCAATGACCACATTCTTATCTATAGAATGGTACAAAAGGGATCGTTGCAGGACAATTGGCAAGACTCCCATTTGGGCAATACTCTTCCGGATAAATATTGTTAAATTTGTCATATCACTGCAAACGTTTGACAGTGTGTGTTTTTGGTGCATAGGAAAGTTTTTTTTAATGTTCATGTTCTTCACTGCCAACTTTCGTATCTGTTACTTTGTGTAACTTTATTAGGTGTCTTGTTTGTGACCGTTGGGGTCTGACTTTTAAAATATGAAGTGCTTCAGGACGGTCACTAAAATTAAATTGAATGTCTGTTTAGTCATTTACAAATTACAG